TACTTGGGGGGCCAAGGCAGGAGAATCGCTTGAACTGGAAGGCAGAGGTTGCAGTGAGCCGAGATAGCACCATTGCATTCCAGCCTGGGGGACAAAAGCGAAGCTTTGTCTCAAAAAAAAAAGAAAAAAAAAAGAAATGCAAAATCAAAGTTGTTAAATAAAAAAAAATATTAACATGTAGTCGTCTTAGCACTAATTTTTAACTGCTTTCACATGTAATTGACATAGAATAAATGGCACATATTTAAAGTGTACAATTTAGTAAGTTTTGATGTTTGTGTACACCTGTGACACCATCACCACAATCAAGATAGTGAACAGACCCATGCTTAAAGTGTGCTCTAAATGAGACTCAACAGCCATGTTTGCCTCTCTTTCCATGTTTGTATTCCTATATTCTTGAGCTTTCTTCTGGGCTGCAGTTAAGTTACTTGCAAATAGTTTGAACCTTTGAGTGTTTGCTAGACCTGGTCCAGAACAGTGTTTAGACCAGGGCTAATTATACCCCATTACTGAAGCAAGATCCTTCTGGATACTCTATTCAGTGCCCATAAATCATGACATTTTCCAGGCTGACTGGTAGAAGAGACTGTTTCCAGCCCTGTATCAGTGCTGTGCACTGTTCCCCTTAACCCTTTCTGGTGTTTGTTTCCCTGGCCTTGGGTAGTTTCCTCACCCGCATGCACTGATCAGTACAAAACTAAGTACTCAAGGGGACCACTGCAGAGCCCCAGAGTCCTTATTCTATATTTTTCTCTCTTTGGCACTCTGTCCTGTGAAGTCCAGCCTCTTTGATCATCGTGGACTTTCAGCTGTTTCTCCTGAACTCCTGAACTTGGCTCAACCTGGTTTTCCCCTTCCTGCATAGCACCCTTGAAACTGTCAAAGCACTGAGCCAGGGTAATAAAAATGGGACTCACCTGGTTTGTTTCCCCACCTCTCAGGAGTCACTGCCCTTCATTGCCTAATGTCCCATATCTTAAGGCAGGAGGAGTAAGTCTGGTCCTGTTGTGTCTTTTTGGCCAGGATTAAATTATCTGCTTAATTTAATACAATTATGATAAAGATTGGTTCTTATGTCAGGATAGTATGATTTTCTTTAGAAGAACTAACCTGTAAAAGGCTGTTATTTAGTAAAAAGTTTGTGACTTAATAATATACCTTGGCTCATATGGTAATGATAGTTTAGTAGGATTTTTTTTAAGCTACCATGTATATTTTAATTAGGAAGACTGGCTTTGCATAGCTGAATGGTTACCACTTAAACGTTTGTTTAAAATTTTAGAATAGTAGGAGATAAAACGCTGTATCTTAGATTTTACATGATTGAGAAATATATTGCTCATACACTAGGGATTTGGGGACATGCTTCTCTAATTAATAAAGCATAGTATTTATTTATTTTTATTTTTATTTTCTTTTATTTTTGTTTTCGAGATGGAGTCTCACTCTGTCGCCCAGGTTGGAGTGCAGTGGCACAATCTCGGCTCACTGCAACCTCCGCTTCCCAGGTTCAAGCAATTCTCCTGCCTCAGCCTCCCGAGGAGCTGGGATTACAGGCACCCACCACCATTCCCGGTTAAGTTTTTTATTTTTAGTAGAGATGGAGTTTCGCCATGTTGGCCATGCTAGTCTCGAACCTCTGACCTCAATTGATCCTCCTGCCTCAGCCTCCCAAAGTGCTGGGATTACAGACGTGAGTTACCGTGTCTGGCCAAGCCTAGTATTTAAAGTCTTCTATCTTCCTGAAGTTTTTGTCAGATGGAATTGGTTATTACAAAATTAATACTAAATTTCTTTTTTGCATAATTCTTAGAGTCATGCTAGCCACCACAAATGGACATAATTCAAAATAATAATGAATTATTTACTTTGTAAGAAATCTGCTTCTTTCTTTTAAGAAGTCTTTTTTTTTGAGACAGAGTATTGCTCTGTCGCCCAGGCAGGAGTACAGCAGTGCGATCTCTGCTCACTGCAGCCTCTACCTCCCAGGTTCCGTGATTCTCTTGCCTCAGCCACCCGAGTAGCTGGGATTATAGATGTGCGCCACAACACCTGGCTAATTTTTGTATTTTTAATAGAGACCAGGTTTCATCGTGTTGGCCAGGCTGGTCTCGAACTCCTGACCTCAAGTGATCCACCTGCCTCAGCCTTGCAAAGTGCTGGGATTACAGGCGTGACCCACTGTGCACAGCCTCTTTTAGGAAGTCTTATAGAAGAATCTAGGATGAGAATCAGAAATTTCAGATACCCTAGTTCTCCCTCTTGACACATTTCAGTTGGATACACATCTATTTTCCATCATTTTCAAAAGAATTCTCTTTTAAAAGTTATTTTTAAAGATTAATGATCTTTGAAACAGTCTAAAATATTGCCTTACAAACTGTATTCTGCAGAAAGCTGCTGACCTGAAAACATTGTGTTTGTATGTGTTCAACAGTAAAGGAATGATTCTGTGGTCAAGTAACTGAAACAGTGAGTCAAAGTTAGGTGTTTTCAGTCCACCTTCATGAAACTTATTGTACCTAAGTGTCCAGGACAGTGTTCATGCCCCTTATTACTATAGATGTGTTAGTTGCTATCATATTTATACTTTGATTTTTTTGTTTGATTTGTGGCATTTGTATGCAATATTTTCTTTTTAAAAAAATGTTTATTTATTTTTATTTTTGTAGAGACAGGGTCTCACTAAAAAAACCAGACTGGTCTCTCACTCCTGGGCTCAAGTGATCTTCCCACCTCAGCCTCCCAAAGTGCTGAGATGACAGGCATGCACCACTGCTCCCAGGTGAATCCAATTGTTTTCAACAAGTTTTCACTGCATACAGTATCTCATCTCTCCTGTTACAAATCCTGTAAGGATTGGGACAAGATATAAATATCAAATAAAGCAAGTCTGTTCCAGTCCTTTAAATATTGTTTGGTTAGAATTTTGTGGCAAGATTTAACACATGAACATTAAGCCTGGAACCAAATGTTAAAAAAGGAAGATAACATTTATTTAATATTATTATATGCTGTGTTAGTTGTTTTATATTGATGCTTGAAGGTAGATGGTATTACTGAGGTTTGCAGAGGTTAAAAAAGCTAGTAAGTGATAAGAGTTGGGATTCAGTTTCTTGTCTTTTTGATTTCAAAACAGACTTTTTGCTCTGCATATTGTCTGTGGAAGAAGTAGTGTCATGAAAAATGAAAGATTAAATTAATGTTTCAAATTTTGGTGAAATCAGATATGGCCAAAAGAAAGTTTCTTGATTACATGTTAATTTATCCCTCATCTATTGGGAGGACTAGGGACAATGCTCCCATTTGAAGTCTAAAATTCTTAATGGTTTTAGGGTTTGAGTTACTTTCAGAGCTTTACTTTTACTTCTGAGTTCTTGAGACTTTTAAAACTTTTCATTTATTGTGGTACATTTTTGTTTTACTTAGTAAAATTCTAAAAATTAAAATATATTAAAATATTAAATAAATAATTTAATTAATTAAAATAAATAAATTTAAAAATTAAAAATATTTGCCTGTGCCTACTGTGTGACAGGCATTGCACTAAGGCCTTTGGCATGACCTGATTAAGGATATAGATTCTTTTTTTATTTTTTTTTTACTCTCAGGATATGCTTAAGGATATATATTCTTAAGACATCATTTTTAATTACCCAAATATTACCACAATTATTATAAACATTGTTCTGACCCTTGTTTATTAGTCTCTTGATTTCTCTAAACTTTCACTTTCATTTCTTCAGAGCCAAATCACTCACTCGCCACCCCATAATGAGTAGCTCTTGATACTCTAAAGAGGCCATATCCATTTTACTTCTGTCTGCATCTTGTGGAATATTATATAAAACAATAAGAAATTTTATTCATAATTAATAAGTTTAACTTGGCCTCAGTTATAGTATGTTTCATTGTTTATCCTTCTGTATTTGAAGCAAACATAGAGGGGATGTAAATTTAATAATTTATACAGTGTGCTCCGGTCCCTGACTGTTTACCTCAGCCTCAAACTTGTAGTCTTGGATTACATACAGTACTGCTTTCTCCAAGGCCTTTGCTCGTGTGTTCTTCCCACTATGCACACGAGTTTCCATAAATAACTTCCTATTTTGATTTTTAATGTCTACTTACTCTTTGTTTCAGTACAGGTATCACGTGTGGGACCGTCTTTGCTTTCTATCTTTCCACTTTGTCCACTCTGCCACAGCATGTGTCAGGATCTCTTCCTTATTTTCATAACACCCTAGATATCTCTGTCATTGCTCTTACTGCATTAAATTTTTTATTTGATATGTTTTTGTCATGAGAATGAGCTTCTGCAAGGAATTATCATTTCTTTTTTTTTTTTATATTTTCATTGTGTAGCACAATATTAGCAAACAGTTTTTTTCTCGTACATATTTGATGAATGCACAATAAATGGCACTGATTTTTATGTTTATCATTTTAAAAACTTTAGAATACAACTTTTAATTGTTTTACTTATTATACAATTTTTATTTCAGGACTGTATTATTCTTGTGAAAGACTCATGGGTAGATTTTCTCTTAAAATTGTGGAAAAGTTGTCAGAAACCATATTTATATAATGATATTCAAAGGCCATGCCATGGTGAGATTTTTTTCCCCCTAATCTCCACCATTCCTCCACCTCTTAGGATACAGATCTTATGAATGAGACAGAGTAAAGGACTTTAAGTTGGATAAAGATTAGGATTCCCTGCTGGCTAGTAATTATCAGAATCTGGATGGTTATTTATTTGGATGAAACGGTGCATACATTGTGTGCATCAAAAGTAAAGCATATGTGATTGTTAGAGGAATGTTTGAATTCCCCAGTGGGATGTCATGGGGTATGTTTATAAACTCCCACTAAGCAGTAGTTCTACAATGGAATTTCTCTGGCATTGAGATAATAATTTGCACAGTCAAATTACCTTCTTTACAAAACCCCAAGGAATCATGAGGGCCTAATCCTTTATTAATGTCAACCCACAGGCTGCAAGAAAGCGTAAGATTGCCATTCGAAAAGCCCAGGGGAAAAATGTGGAGGCCATTCGGGAACTGAATGAGTATCTGGAACAGTGAGTGTTTAACAAGAGGATCGTGTTTTGTTATTCTGATAAATCTTTTTTAATTAAAATGGAATTTGCATTTGATTTTCCTGTTTGTCTTCATGCTGTTCATTTGCAGAATATCTACACACTTACTTTTTTTTTCTTTTCCTCTCACCAGATTTGTTGGAGACCAAGAAGCCTTTTTTTTTCTTGCAGAACTTTACATCAATGAACATGAGTAAGTTATTAAACACACTTAACATTTTGTTGAGTGCAGTTTTCATCACTGTAAGTTCAGAAAGCACTGTGGTTTCCAGAGTATTGGTGAGAAGGTGTGAATCATGTTGTTTGAAATGAAAAACAAAACAAATCAACAATTAAATGAAAATAAATCAATAATTTGCTGGTCATAATATGTGAATATCTTTAACTGGATCATTTGTGTTTTGCCATATTGTTTATGTTTAGGAAATAAGTTTTTCTTTCAAATATAGATGACATTCTTTGGAAGTAAAAAGGCCTGCATTTGCTAAGCTAAATTTATTTTTGGTGAATCAAAAATGTGAATTTTTAGAGTTCAGATTGTTCTTATAATACAAAGAGTATTATGCTCCCTGCTGTTTAAAAATTCTGTCAATTGTATGCATGTATTAGCCTTAGTACTGAGAGAATCAACTCTTCCAAAGTAGAAGCATTCTGTTGCCTGGGTAAAAAACTGAGAATAATCAAGAATGTTGAATGCTGTAGGATCTTGCTTATTGGATGTTTAATGTTTTTGTTAGCTTTTTTATTGCTGTAGTGACAGGAGGAAATCCCAGTGTGAGAGGATTAGTCCAGAGTCTTAGTGCAAGTTTGCTAATATTACAGCATTAATGCTAACCTCCATCTAGAGGCATGTTTTTTATTTTTTTTCTTAGTTATTCTGAATCTGAAGTATATGACATTGCTTCTTTTTTTTTTTTTTTGACAGAATAGAATCAGATTCTTATGCACGTTTTCTTGTGCATGAATATTTAACCTTGTTCCCATACTACAAACAACTGATGAGAAATAGAATGAAGACATTTGTCTGTTGTCTGTGGTCTATATATATAATGTGATAGAGAGGATTGAAGTCTATTTGCATAAGTCTAAGAAAAGTGGGAGCTAAAATAAAAGTAATAGCTGTGATTTAATGAATGTATACTATATTCTGGGAACATTTTTGAAGTTCTCTGCTATACTCTGAAACAGATACTCTGGTTTTGATTAGGAAATTATTTCCTGAATCACATTCAGTATAGATGATATGCTTGTTTGTACACATATGTAAACATACTTATGATTTCTTATGCATGTGAGACAGTGTATAATACTTATATTTAAATACATGAAATTGAATCTTTAGAATATAGTAAAAATAATTAGCATTAATTTTATTTTGTTTCGAAAACAGTTGACAGTCATTTCACGTTTTTTTGTACTTTTTAAAACTTTTCTAACTGAAAGCATTTTTAAACTTTTTTTATTAACAAGGATTTTTTTTTCAAGTTAAAGGAATACCTAATGCAGAAAATTTGAGAAACACAATAAAGCATAAAGACCAAGACAAAAATTACATGTAATTCCAGCATCCTAAGTTAACTATAGTTTGAATTTTGTCCTTCCTTACCTTTTAAAACAAAAGCCCAAAATAAAACTATCTTTCGTAGTTTATACTTTCCCTTATATTTTGTCAAAAATTTCTTGTCACTATAACAATCTGCAGTGTGTTTTGAATGGTTTTATATTATTTCATCTTACCAGTTTACCCTAGTATTTTTAACCAGTTTCCTAGGGAGATATAAAGGTATTTTTATATTTTTATATATAATGCTGTAGTGATCATTTTTATTTTGTTTCCTTGGGTTAAATTCTTTGAACTAAAATTGCTTGATTAAACAAGATGTACGTTTTCTGTGGTTTTGATAATAGTTCCTGATTGTTCCCTAGAATGTTAACATCAGTTTACCAGCACACCAGCGTTTACTAGAGTCCCTTAACAATATTGGATATTGTGATTCTTTTTTAATCTTTACAAGTTTGATAGGTGAAATTGGTTCTACCTTTTTAGTTCATTTTTAAGAGCTCTTTTTGTAAAGGAGAGTAACCGTATGTCAAAAGTATATCCTTGTTATATGCTTTTTAAATACTGACTTCTTAAAATTATAGAAACTTTACATTTTTAGAAAATCAGATTCATCAGTTTTTAACATTATCATGTCTGCTGTCCTTTAATAGCTTAAAAAATATATCACCTTTTTTCCCCTACTTCATTTGCAATTTTATTTTTTTGCATGTATTTCTAATATTTATTTCATCATCAAATTTAGGTTATACCTTATTTTTAACCTACCATTAAATTTATTTATTTGTTTCACCATGTGGCACCATGTTCAGTTTTGCTTTGTTTTGAATCTAAAGAGTTTATTAAAATAGAGGTGAATGTACACTTAAGAGAAATGAACTGAGAAGTCTCAAAAAATCAAGAAATACAAAGATGTAGGAGCACCTGAAAAAAATTTTTTAGACGAAATGATAACTATGGTCAGCCTACCCTTTTATCTAGTATCACGAAAGTCTTTTTGGTCTTGAAGGTAGTTACAAAATGACCATTTATTTTTTCTAATTGAACACGTAGAAGGAATATTTATGTTTAGGTGAGTGGAAATACATATCTACAGATTTTTTGAAACTGAAAATTGCAGTCAATTCATATGATTCATTTGACATGTTTGAGCAAGTCATTATAGGAGGAGTTTTTTGGTGGAATGTTAAATTATCGTAGGATATCAGTTTTAGCACCAGTCTCGTGGACACAGTGGCAAAAATGTAGCAGTTTTCAAAATGTTAGATATATTTAACATTTGATATTCTTTTCTGCGTATGAACAGTTATAAGCTTTTTTAAGTATAATAGGTCACAGGCAGCTTTGGTAGCCTAGATCTAGAACTATTTTTTTTTCTTTAAGATACAGAGTCTTACAACATTTCCCAGACTAAACTTGAGCTCCTGGGCTCAAGTGCTCTTCCCATCTCAGCCTCTTGTGTAACTGGCACTACGGGTGTGTCACTATGCCCAGCTCTGGAATTTTTAACTCCAAATAAATATCTGTAGTATAATTTTCATATAGCCCTATTTAATGTTTTGAAAAAGGGATATAGAATTATGCCACATAACCGTTTTATATTTTTAAGTTACTTTTATAAGTTCGTTTCTGATTTATAAATTATAGTTTGTTTTTAGTTATTCCAGGGGTATATGTTACACCCATTGACCATATTGAGACTCTTGTTCTAAAGTTTTAAAACTACAGTTAATTTTTTGTGTGTCAGCACTACCAATATGTATTATAGGTTAAGTATCCATAACCTGAAAATCTGAAATCCACAATACTCCAAAATCTGAAACTTTTTGAGTGCCAACATGATGCTCAGAGGAAATGCTCATTGGAGCATTTTGGATTTGGGATTTTTGGGTTAGGAATGTTCAACCAGTAAGATAATGCAGATATTTTAAAATCTGAAAAATTCTGAAATCTGAAACATTTCTGGTCCCAAGCATTTTGGTTAAGGGATACTCAACCTTTGTGAGCAAAAATACATTCACATTATGAAAGACAAAATGTTTTTACTCGATTTGTAATTGAAACTAGATACTATACAGCAAGGAACAGTTTAGTATAATACTTTTATTATGATTGTGATTATAGTTCCTTTTCATAGGTCCAGCCTTTTAAAATTCCATATCAAAGGGAATTACCACAATTCTATAAGGAAAAATCGTGATGTTGGTAAAGTAACACACAGTACCAAATACTGTAACCTTTAGCTATATATACTTTTGTAAGGAAGAGAAGAAACTTTATTTAGTTCTAGTACTGACTCTAACATTGTAATAACAATTGTTATTCTGTTTTAAGTAGATTCAAATTATTTTCACTTCTCTATTCTTAGTCTTGTTGAGTCACTGTATATAATGAATTAACTTTTCTGTGCACCTAGAATAGTACTGGCTATGTATTATCCCTGACAAGATTGAGGAGATAGTCACTTTTTGTGTGGCCTAACAATGGCCTAGAAAAGCTGGACTAGACCATATCTTGAGCTCCTTCTAGCCCTAATTTTATTTAATTCTATATTTTATCCACAAAATTAGTTTGATACCATACTTTGTAAAATTGGGGGAAGGAATCCTTTTCTCATATGTGATGCTAATTGATTTTTGATAAAATATCTTGGTATTCATTTTACCCTAAGAGCTACTACTACCTGCCCATTTTATCTTGCTTTATGCACCAATGTCACAGTTGTGCTCAACCCATTTAAAGCTCTAAGAACTTTTATTCTTAGTCTCAACATGAATTTTTGGTATCATACTTTATAATTAAAGGAACACGTTTAGAAGAAAACTGTCTTTTGATAAAGTGTTTTAAGGTAGAGACAGATTTTCCCTTTTCTTTTAGAGTGATAAATAGATATTAAGTAGGTAGTCATAATACATTTGTTTTAGACATTTATTTAGTCATTTGTTCAGTCTTACTAAATACCTATCATGTGTCAAGAACCAATGCTAGGTTTTGAATTTAAAAATGGAAAGGGCTAAATAGCTGCATGATCTTAGATGAGAGTATATATATATGGTCCTTCATAAATCTAAAATGCTGTAATTATTAGGTAATCTGCAGGGTGTATTTTTCTCCTCAGTCCCTTTGGGTGTGACTGCTGTACACATTTTCATGTTACCATTGAGATCTTCAGTTTTTCAATGTTATGTGTAATGCATATAAACAGCATATGTAGTGGTTAAAAAGTACAGGCTGTCTGGAGTGGCACAGCCTGGGATTCAGTTTACAGCTCTGTGCCTCAGTATTCTCAGCTCTAGCATGGTGATAATAATTTCCTTCTTCCTAGGATTTTGGTAGGATTAAATGAGTTAATACGTGTAACACACATAGAAAATGCATGACACCTAATAAACAATTAGTGAAACTTAGCTTATACTTGGGTGAAACAGGAAAATAATTTTAAAAGTATATCAGGCATTAGTGTCAAGGTAGATACTTTTGTATGTTGGTAACAAATGCCAAAAATAACTTGAGGTAACCTCTTTTTGTTGGGTAGTGTCATCAGTTCCTCACTGGGAAGAAATCTTGTAACACCTGTGTTCATTAGGATTTCCTATAGATAGTGAGGATAGTCACATGGCATTAAACATTTAAAATATATTTAGTGAATTATAGTCACATGCTTTAAAATGTTTTTCCAGAGCTGTTTCTGGCAGTTCTCTTTCCTTAGGTTTTCAGCAAGATTTTTGTTTATTCTACCACAAGATTAAATAGTAGCACAGTGTATATCAAAACCAACTTGATCTATTTTTCATGGGCTTAGAAATTTATAACTTTATTATAATTTGGCATTTGACAGTAAACTTAAGTAATGAGAGAAATCTTTGTAATAGAATATGTTGGTAAATATATGCCTGTGAAGAATTTTTAGTGAGTAGAGAATATTTAATAAAGTATTTATTTTCTCCTTACACATTAGCTGTTTGAATATTTTTTTAAATGATCAGTCAACTTCCAAAAGTTGTTCTATATACAACTTGATCCAAGGTCTTGAAGCCTTTCTTATTAGTAATGATGAGATGTAGTAGGAGTGACCCAATTTTTAAAATGCATTATCTATTGATTGATTACAGGCTGCTTTAAGATTTAAGCCTGTGTTTATTAATTTCATGATAAAATTTAATGTCATTGATATTTATGAATGTCAGATGACAAATATTTTATTAATAAAGCTATGTAAATTATTTTGTGAATAAATTGTTTAACATCACTAAAGTTGTTTTTAAATTATTTCAAGGTTTAACTAAAATAAAAATTTGTGACTTTTAAAATTAATTTCTCCTCTTGATGTGTTTTTAGCTATGCAAAAGCAGCCTTTTGTTTAGAGGAACTAATGATGACTAATCCACACAACCACTTATACTGTCAGCAGTATGCTGAAGTAAGTGTTTTCAGAACAATGGCATGTAATTTTATTTTGGTTGCTATTCGGTATTATTATGGAACTAAGAATATTTCCTTCATGTTAAGCAATTATATGTTTAAAACATCTGATGAACATTACATTGTGGGAAGAAAAGTTTAAATTTTTTAACATTGCAGTGGTAATACTGACTTCAATTAAGACATACTTAAAACAGTGAAATTCCTTGTATTTTTATATTTGTGTATTATTTTCTTTCCTAATTATAAGTTATATCACATTTGCCACCACTTAATGGCTTCTGAGACATTTATAGTGATTATGATTGTTAAATCCATATTCTGGGAAATTTGTATTAAAGCCAGTTGGGACATAGGAAGTATTTATTTAATTTGCATACTGTTAAGAATAGCAGTACAATTGAATGCTATAAGGCTAGAAGGGATTCATTATTAAAGAATGTCCGTACAGATTATGAAAGGACAATTCGATATTTAAGTCCACATTTATAATGCCAGTAATAGAAAATAACATGTGAAGTGAAGCATTTGTGAGGCAGCTGAAATAGAAATTATTCTGGCTTTTTATTGTGGCAGCATTTTTGTTTTAAAAACTACTCAGTCATCTCAATGTTCGTAGAACAGAATAGCTTTTTGGGGGAAGGTTATGTTTGAAATTTTAGATTAGCTTTAAAAACCTTTAGGTGAATTCTTTTAACATCTTGTATTTGTTTTTAGAGAGAATATCTGTTTCGATTACTTAATGCCTGTGGTATGATGAAACCATGCTATATTTCAAAGTAGTAAAATAAACGGTTTTCAGCACTTTGCAATTTTTAACAGGTTAAATATACCCAAGGTGGACTTGAAAACCTCGAACTTTCAAGAAAGTATTTTGCACAGGCATTGAAACTGAACAACAGAAATATGAGAGCTTTGTTTGGGCTTTATATGGTGAGTTGCGGTGCATGTTTAATGTTATTTTTAAAAATCTGTCACTTAAAATCCATTCAACTATCCCCTCCAATCACTCCTCTCCTGTTTTTTGTATTTTATTGATAAGCATATAATATTTTTCTGTAATTAATTCTGAGCAATAGCTTGTAAGCCAGTTTTATTTTTGAATGTTACTACAGCCTGTTTGACTTTTTTTTTTTTGTGAACTATGTTTTATCGTATCAGAATTGAAATCTGCCCTTACAAAGTTAAATAGTAACAGGAAAAAAAACATGATTTCTTGTTTTGATATTCTTGGGTTTATGCCCAACATTATTGTATTTCTTCCCTAAATTATAGTTGTATGACGTATTTTTAAACTATGCCAATAAAATACATTAGAAATAAAATCCCTAATATATAAAATTAAAACATTTTTTATGGTGTAGAAAAACAGTTTGTAAACTGTGGGAAGTATATAATGATCTCTTGTTTAGGTATGCCAAATGCAGAGTTTAGAAAAGTCAATTAATAAGAGTATGGGAAATGGAGGAATAATTTGCTGACCTTTAAGACATGTATATAAAGTGAGCACCTCTCTAAAATAAGAAAGGCTGGGAAAAATAAACTTTCATATGTCAGTTAGTTCTTTGAATTTTTTATTTATCCTGTTCTTTTGACAGACTTCTTGATAAGTGTCTTCTAGTTGCAGCTCAATGAAAAAGAACTGATTGAAGAAATGGAGATAGGAAGAAATAAAAATGAAATAATTTTTAAAAAGGAATGGCAAAATATGATTAGAAAATGGTTCAAATGTATTTCAAGAAAATTTTCCTGGATTCTAGCAAAGCGAATTGCAATGGCTTGAAAATATACTATAGTAGAAGTATCTCTTTATCAAATACATACTAATTTTAAAAACTATATAATATACAACATATTAATAATAGTTCATACATAGCACTTTATGTGCTGGGCCTTGTTCTGACCTGTATTTTTTATTTTAAATCAATAAATCCTCACATCAAGTATTTGAGTAGGTGCTCTCAATACTATTCTCAGGTGGTGAAACTGAGACACGGATTTAATTAATTTGCCCAAAGATGGGCACAGAGCTCCTAAATGATTGAGTTGGGTTTCCAGCCCTGGAAGTTAACTCCATAGTTTTTCTCGTAATCACTGCATCTACTAAAATTCATAAGAAGAAGGTAACATTAAAGTCATAGAGGTATAAAAGTGAGATTTGGGGATATAGATTCTTCACTGGCAGAGACGGAGACATAGGTGAAAGAGCCTATAGCACAGCCTGGCATAAAACAAAGGCTTAACCTTTTTTTGAATCACATGGTCAGTTTCTTTTAAGAGTAAAATATATTTAAGAATAGGATTAAAGTTATATCTTACTCTTCACAGTAATATATACATTTAATAATTAGCATATAATTTTGGGGTTTTATGGATTCTTTCACAGATCCCAGATTAAGAACTGCTCATTTAAATACATTTTTAAAAAGGAGAGGGTGGATCAAATTGCAGGGACTAATTGGTTCTCTGAAACACAGTTTGAAAACTCATGGTATAGTGAAAAGAGAGATGGATTAGAGATAAAGATCTTCTTTATTTCAAAGACCCATTATTTTGCTTTGGTCAAGTTAAATCTCTCCTATTGGACTTAAATTTCTTTTATCTATTAATGTAGGATGTCAGGCTAAATTATTTTTGAGTTTCCGTTTTCTATAAATATTCAATAATTATGTGATCCTGACCATAGGCAAGCTTATGTAATTCAATAACAAGAAATAATACCAGTAATATCCTACAGTGGTAAAGTGCTTTTGGTTTATAAAGTGTTCTTCTATAGCTTCTTTATTTAAACGATACGGAGTTTTACCTTTAAGAGCTGTTACAGATACATAATTAAATAATTTTAGGTATTATTTAAAATATATTTTCCCTTTCCACTATTTTGGATTTATACTATATTTTAAAATGTATTTTCATTTTTAAGCACTAATATTCAATTTTATGTTTATATTAAAAATTATTTTGGTACAGTTTTTAAAAATTCTTTATTATCATCCCATTACAACCATGTCCCTTATGTTTTTGATTGTCTTGACTAGCAAAAAAGGAATTTTGCTTTTGATGTTATTGTTTGTTTGTTTTTAGTCGGCAAGTCATATTGCTTCTAATCCAAAAGCAAGTGCAAAAACGAAAAAGGACAACATGAAATATGCTAGTTGGGCAGCTAGTCAAATAAACAGAGCTTATCAGGTTAGTATTTATTGATCATTTTGCTATGTAGATCAGTTAATGTATTTCTTAGTTTTGTTTCTACAAACTACAAAGTCAGATGTCTGGCATTGGACTTATATGCCTTTGGGACTTTATGAAATGTATTTTGTGTAGAATTAATTTGTGGTTTTAAGACTACCTTTTTATCCCCTCAAGAGGAATCTGTTAGTATTATTATTTCATAATTGACCTTACAATCTGGAAATGTCAGTGGTTCTGCATTTGGCAAACGCAAACTAATTCTAAAAACTCAGGATAAATAAATATGTCGCATTTCAGAAGCAGATGGGGTATGTGAGTATATTTTTAATCATAAGTATCTCAAGAAATAGAAAAGAAGGAAGAAAAGCCTTAAAGTAAACTAATCAAACTGCGTAACAAAGTTTGTGCAGTCTGCTTATACTTCAGATCTTTTACTGAAACTTCTCCATTTGTATCTTCATTTTCTAAAGCTCATCCTTAGCAGATTTTTGGGAAATTATTTTTCATGAGAAATTTACTCATGGGAAAACACATCTTCTTATATCTTTAGCCTTATTTGTCTATAGCCTTTATATTTAAAGGACAGTTTGGCTTTTTATATACCCGTTGATCCTTTACCTAAGTATCTTAAGCATATTGTTCAGTTGGGTTTTTTTTTGTTTGTTTTTAATATGGACGAGATCTTGCTACATTGCCTTTTTTTTTAGTGAACTCCTGGCTTCATGCGATCCTTTTACCTCAGCCTCCTAAGTAGCTGGAACTACAGGTGCAGGCATCACCATGCCCCACTGTTTCATTCTGTTTCAGAATAAAATGTTGCCGTCAAGAAGTATGATGCCATCTTGACTTGCTTTTTGTCATAAGTGACTTTTTGTCTGGTTACCCAACGGAATTTTTTCTTTATCTTTAAAATCCAGTAGTCTTACTACGATTTGTTTTATTGATTCTTCTTGGGTCAGTTTTCCCATATACACAGTACACCCATTTAGTACATCAATTTAGCCCTTTTAGTTGAGAAAAGTTGCTTATAGAATTACAAGTATTTTTTTCTCTGCTTTGTTTTCTTTTTCAGTGTTTCAGTTACAAATATATTAGACTTCATTTTTCTATGTCCTTTATTATTCATTTTCCTTCAAATTATTTTGTCATTTTCTGTATTTTATGTTTTCTCCATAATTTTTTATGAAGTTGATTCATATTTTTCTTGTCCTCCATGTTTAAATGAGGTAGTGTTCCTGGACTATTAGGAGGAGATGTTTATGGAATGGCAGGAAGTTGGAGATAGATTAGGGTAGCTTTCCCAGCTTGGCTATTCTATGGCTACCTCCTTTTTTTGCTAAAGAGAACTGAAATATGACCTCTTTGTGTAGCCAGTCTTTCTTAGAACTGAGTGTGAATGGAGAGTCTGTCTTAGAACTGAGTGTGACCCAGAAAGATTTTCTGGCTTCAGCCCACTGTTCTGTTTCTAGAGCCCTCAAGATCTTGAATTCTGAAGTGTTGCTGTCAGCTTTAAATGTTACATATTGTTGTTACAGTTTGTGTTTCTTCCTTTTTGTTTTGTTTCCTTCTGGGATTGCTGCCTCTGGGCATCACTCCTTTTCTCACCTCTCCTTATCTGAACCATCTCTCTTTCTTGCCCTGGTGTTTCTGCCCTGTTAGGTTTGGTTTCAGTTTTTAATTGTTTTTCTTCAGGGTGTGAAGTTTTGTCCTTCTGGAAGAGGGTGTTTGCTAGATATTTTAGAGATTTTAAGATAGTAGATGGTTAGACTTGTCTAATCTCACATTTGTGAATAGTTTTTTACACTTATCTTTGTTTTGGAGCTTATGAAGACTTCTAGGCCCTTGGCAGATGCATCATCTCAGGTTTTCTTGTTTCGTGGATTAAGAATTCATGATTTGTTTGGTTTCTGGTTTCTTGTAGAGTAGTAGGTTGTCCTCTATTTCTATTTCTCCTACTACACAGTTGTTAATCTTTTGTAGGTCGTGCTGCTCTTGATGCCATAGTCACATTCTAGGGTTTAGAAAATTGACACCTAGTTTTTTTGGAAATGTCGTCTGTGGGCTTGGGTTCTATTATGTTGGTTTTGGTGCTGGCTTTTTGTTGTTCGTTTTTGCCCTTCTGGTTGGAGAAAATTTAGGAGATTCAAAAAATGTAATGCCTCCATAATCGCATCATCGAAAGTCACCTTTGTGTATTTTTATTGCCTGTTATAGAGCATGTTAGTTTTGTTGGCATATTGTAAGTCAGAGTATTTATAAATATTAGCGAGACTGTGCTTCTTCAAATGTAGTTTGGGATAGCTCAGATCTGTAATGGAGTTCCACACAGAGTAGACTTGGGAGTATGTGGGAGTGTGTGATTTAAAGGTTAGATTTGTATAATATAAAAGTAATGCTGTGCATACTACATAATCGTTTTTAAGACATTTATGAGAAACAGCTCTTCAGAGTGCTTTTTTGACATAACTATTTTAAAATCAATTTTTACTAAATTACAATATAGAAATAAGAATTATAACAGAAAAAAAGGATGCAAGTAATAAATGTGCCTTTCAGTGACTAATATAAGGTAAATATATCCAGGCTAATAAATATAAACACTGCATCATCCCAAAGCCCTCTTGGTAAGTCCTCTTCATTTCGCCTCTTGTTTTCCTTAAGAGTACTAACTTATAACCCTGTAGTTTATGGAATCAGCCAGTATGTATTCTTTTTTGTCTTGCATATTTCTATCATTATTCAGTTTATGGGATTTATCCTTATTTATGTCTGTAGTTCATTCATTTTCTCCTACTGTAGTTCATTGTATGAATGTTATACTTTGTCTAGTCAGTTATTGCTATGCATTTGGAATATTTTCTGTTTGGGCTATTTTGAATAAACTATACTGAATATTGCTGTACAGATCTTTTGGTGGACATGTATGTGCAGTTCTTACTGTATGTGCAGTTCTGTATATCTTTGAGTGAAAATACTGGGTCATAGAATATATGTATATTTAACTTTAGTAGTTAAAGGCAGTTTTCCAAGTTAGTTTGCTCCCACCAGCGGTAAGAGTTCTAATAGTCCCACATCTTCACCAACACTTGGTTCTGTCAGTCTTTGTAATTATAGCCATTCTGGTACATGTGTAGAGTGGTACTTCATGGTTTTATTTTGCATGTCCCTGATGATCAGTTCCATTTGGATATCCTCTTTCATGAAATATTTTTCTCATTAGTATTGGTATGACTTATTTCTTTAGTTTTTTGCTTTGAGCCCTTTTTTAGTTATATATATAAGCAAATATATTTTTTTTTTTACTTTTTTGCTCATATGATCTTGAGGAATAGAAGTTCTGAAATGAAATGTGTTCAAATGCCTCAGTCATTTGTTTGTGTTTTTTGTGTTCTGTTTAAGACATCTTTTGCTACTCATGGTCATAAAGAATTCTGTGTGTCTTCGGAATTTCTATTTTACTTTTCATATTTAATCCACAACCCATTTGGAATTGATTTATTTTTTATTTTTAATTTTTATTTTTTTGAGACAGAATCTGGTTCTGTCGCCCCAGCTGGAGTGCAGTGGCATGATCATGGCTCACTTTGCCCTCAACCACCCAGGTTGAGTTATCCTCCTGCCTCAGCCTTCCAACTCGCTGGGACTGTAGGCGCATGCCACTGTGCTCAGCTATTTTAAATTTTTTGTAGAGATGAGGTCCAGCTGTATTGTACAGGCTGGTCTCAAACTCCTGGCCTCAAGTAATCCTCCTGTCTCAGTCTCCCAGTGGAGTGCCAGGATTATAGGTATGAGTCACTGCATCTGGCCTGGAATTGATTTTTATGTATGATATGAAATAGGGGGTCAGTTGCTCCCTATATGGATATCTAGTGTTTCTGTCCATCTTGTATTCTATCATGAGTTCTGTCCATGGAAGCTAGTTCAGTGTAGTTAAAGAGAAGATTACAGATGCTGGACACATGTTGTCTGGGTTCAAATTTTGACTCTGATATGATTATTAGCTATGCAAACTTGAGTAAATTACCTAACATCTCTTGGCTTATCTTTTCTTCTGCAAGATGGCCATAATAAAATATTCTGAGAATTAAAGAAGTTAAAACATAAGTTATTTTGTTTTTCCTTGTCCTTGTCTCTTCAGTGTGACAAGACCCCCTTGAGGTGTGTTGAGGTATAATTTACATGTAATCAAATGCGTATATTTTAAGTATATATTCTGAGTTTTAACAAATATGTATACCCCCTTACCAGCCCCCCACTCAAAATAGCATTTTCATCACCCAAGAAAGCTTTCTTCTGCCATTTTGCAGTCAGCCTCATCCCCCACTGGGAGATAAACAAGCACTGATTTGATTTTTATCACCAAACATTAGTTTTGCCTGTACTATAACTTTGTATAAATGAGTTTATAGGCTATGTGCTCTTCTGTGTCTGGCTTCTTTCACTCAGCATGTTTTTGAGATTCATTCATTTACAATCCATTTCATTTTTCCTATTACTTTGTCTACCCATGTATTTTCCACAAATTATATAAAGATACCAAGCAAGGTATCTCAGTTATTACAATGCATGAATCACTGACCTCTGAATTTGATAAGCAAGTTTTTATTATTTGGTTGTGTTTGTGTTTTTTCTGGTGAGTTTTCTTGTAGATCTTACAAAGAATTTTGAAAGATTTACTTAAGCAAAATCTAACTGTATGAAAACAAAAATACAGAATTTGTGAATCATGTAGAAGAGTATAACTTTCAGAGAATGACATTTTTGATAACTAGGTAAATCTTTGGGATCTCAGTGAGAATTTCTTAATCGTATCTAAACATGTAAACCAGTATAGAGTATATGATATTTAATATGTGATTTTTCTAGATATTTATAAATTAGGGAATATTAGGTTTCAAGAACTGCTTTTCTTTCTTTGTTTCCACTTAATGATGAAACAGAATATGGCTACTATTTGCTCTTCAATTAGGTAATTGGTTTAACATGTTCAGTAGAAGCAGACACATTTGATTAATGCACATGAAAAACTTTAATGTGAACTTACTCACAATGATTTTCCAGATAAATGCTTCTTTGGTGCACAGTTAAATCTGTGCTAGTGATTTATATGTTATTTATGATTGCAGCGGTGATTCTGTTACTGTCCTTTTGGGAAACAGAAAATTAAATCATGATTTGGGAGAAAAAATGATTCTGACTTAATCAGTTAAATTGACATACAATTCTGGAATAGACAGAATAATTGCATGTCACATTAAATTTGAAGTGATAGATTTATATTTCCAACTTTCTTTTATTTGTTCTGACACAAGTAAATTCATTTGGTTTTTTCCAAATTGCACTGGTTGTGAGTAATGTTGACACCATTTTAGGTGACTCTTTAAAATTAGCTAATTTTAAAAGATCACACTGTATTATTTTTATGTTTAAGTATAAACCAAGAAAAATACTGTATTTAAAAATACATGTTATGGTTTTAGCTCTACAGAATTTTTTTTATTTTTACTTTGCTGTTTAAAAGCAATTAGAATAAATGTTATGTGGTAATGTTACTATGTGATGTCCTATTCTGTACCCCTAATTTTCTCAGAATCAGACCTTTAAGTATCTGATTAGGACCATTCCTATTTATATTTCATAAATGGTGGTAAAAGGAAAAGCTTTCTATTTCTGGTAAATCCTTGTGTATTGTGTAATTTATTGACTGGGTAGCAAAAGTAGTAAGCATGCCCCACAGCCTTTCGTCCTCAGGGGAAATTATAAAAGGACAAAGTTTTAAATGTGATATTGCTGTTACCGTATTTAACATATGAATTCCTTAAATTCGTGATGCCTTTTGAAAAGCAAGGTGATACTGATTTTTATGAGAAGTTTTTTTTTTCCTCTGGCATTTCCACTAGAAACATCCTTTATTTACTTTTTCAAATCAAGATTCAACTACAGAAACTAATCTAATGGTTTAGAGTGTAGGAAGTGTGAGGGAATCATAATGTTAAGCTGTAGCCAGAGGGGTCAGAGACAGGTTACCAGTTCCTGAAGTCTGTTGCTTCTATGATGTTACCTGTGCTTGATCACTTAATCTTTCTGAACAGGTCATGAGAAGTTTTCCAAATTAAGGTAATTACAAAAGACAAGGAACACATCGTAAATCAAGTACTAAGTGCTTAAGACAGCATTGTTATTTGAAGAAATGATCAGTCACTTGAAAATGTATTGAGTGGTTTGATGTTAACTTGAAAACACTAGATGTTGCTAATACCAAGTATTTTAATCATATTTAACCAGGGGGAAAATGGGTAAAGTATATATATATAAAACAAACTTTCTCCCATCTCCAACAAGGAACACTTGCTTATCTAGTAAAGCTTTTGTTTTAAATCAGGCTATTAAATGATGGGAATTGTCAGTGCAGTTAACAAACTCATTTTAAAATCAGCGTGTGGTATTCAACAGTGTTTCCCTCCAGCGATTATGTGTACGATACTGAATTTAATATGCCATGGATTTGCTTTTAAATACACAAATATAGGGTATATTTTGTGTATGTATTGATGTATTATATTTTGTTTTCATAGTAAAATCCAATCCCAATTAGTTTTATAATGTAAGTAAATTACAATTAATAAAGTAGAAATGCATACTTTAAAACATTTTTACATTGTTTTAATGTGTAGCGTAGGTTTTTACTTGACAGCTGTTTGCAGAACCGTATCATTTAGTTAACTAATAAATCTGGAAACTTAAATTATGAGCTACTTTAAATAATTTTAGAGAGTACTTGCAACTTTAAAATGTTTAGTGAAATAACTTGTATTTATGTTGTACCTTTGTTTGAAATTGTAAAAATCTGTTTAGACATCAGATGAGTAGAAATGGTTCACATTCCTACATAAATGTAAGCTAAATTGCATTTTAAAATTATACTTTTTATTTCATGTTTTTTTGATCTGAGTAGGATAGTTTCAAATCTATGATTTTATAGGTTATTATACTACGTAAACATTTAAAACATTTAAACTGGCCAAGTGTGCAGTGAAATCTCTGTACACTTCTACTGAAGGTAAGACCTTAAAGGAAAATGTCCTTAATACTCAAATTTTATTCTTACTGAAAATAACAAAGAATATATTTGATTTCCTGCTAGTTATAAAATAGTCAATGTTAAGTTTCATTAGCAATGTGAAGGTAAGATTGTCATTTTGAACCTGCCATTGAAATTGAGCCTAATTGAGCTTTTTTTTTTTAATTAGTTTGCAGGTCGAAGTAAGAAGGAAACCAAATATTCTCTTAAGGCTGTCGAAGACATGTTGGAAACATTGCAGATCACCCAGTCTTAAGGTTTCAAAAACTCTTTGACATTAGATTTCACAACTGCACAATTGAACTTATTGGCCTGTAACTTATTTACCAAATGCCCAGTGCTGTTTATATACTACAGTGATTTTCTGTTAAGAAGGCAGTTGTAAAGAATGTGTTTATATAAACCTAAAAATGCCTTTTACTGCTAAGTGGGAAGATGGGGGAAATCCATGGAAGAGAGATTTAAGACTTATTGATTGTACATCAGTCTCTTCATATCACATATATATATATATATATATATAAAACTCTAATGTAGAATAACCTTGATATATATATATATATATATAATTAAACTTGCGTATGAAGATTCTAACTTCATTTTATTATACTCACAGTGGATATATTGTTTAAGAACTCAGTTTCTAGTTAACTCCTTACTGGTGATAGCAAAGACACAACATATGTAGCTGACAGAAGCAGATTATTTTGACTTTGTTTATATTGTTGAATTGGATTTTGCTGTACATTCCAGTGGACTATTTGAATTGTTTTATCTGCTGTAATATCCTTCTGATGAATCTTGCTTAAAACATGTCATTCTCCAAAGTTCAGCAATATTTCTTTGTAAAATTTTTGTTTTGATATAGGACATAATTGAGATTTTTACATATAAAATGCCTTAAGGTAAATATGTTATGACACTTAAATTTAACTTTTATGCAAGTTATATTTATTGAATCCTTTAATAGTAAATTATTTGAAAGAATATTCAAGAATCATATAGAGTAGGGATTAAGGGGTTTTAGTGGCTGAGTTATTTTTAATTTTGAAAAAATAAGAAAATTAAAACTATTCTTAGAAACAAAAATATTAAAATTTTCCTGTTCTATCATTACCTTAGTTAGAATTTTTTATTTTTCTCTTTTCATAATAAACAACCATTAGGCTACCTTCAACAGTATTTGACATGTTTCAGTAAAATAGAAGAGACTTTGAAAGTTAAATTTCATTTAGACACAAATCAGATTTTAAAATAGCAACCGTTCATAGCAAATATTTAATGGTATTTATAATAAATATATTTAAATTTATTTTTACTAAAAATATACAGAGGCATCTGCAGACTTGCCATTACCGCTTTGGGCAAGTGGAGATTGTAGAGGAATTGACAATCTAGAAGTGTTTAGAAAGAAAAGTATTGTCAATATCAGCTGCTTTTAACCTTTTGAATAGTTCTGCTAATAAATTATTCTCCATATCTAGTCTAATTTTTCATATTACAGTCATTTTTGTTTTAATCTGCCATGAGTAATAGGCAGCTAATTAATATCTTCCATGAAAGAACTCTTTTCATATGAAGGTAATTTTCTGCTAATCTTTGTTACAACAAAGATCTACTCTTTGTACACATGAAATTAGTAACTGCATTTTCAACATGATGAACCATTTGAAATTTACATTTTCTGTAAAGAAAATAGTGCCTGCACGTTGTCTCACTGCCTTTTCCCCTTCAAACCTCCTCCGCATCAGTCACTGGATTAGTGTTTACTCTAGCAATTATATTTGTGTAATAAGTAATTCCATGCCTCTTATAGCTGTCTGCCTTAGTTTCACTTTTTTTTTTTTTGTTTTGAGACAGTCTCGTTCTGTCGCCCAGGCTGGAATGCAGTGACGTGATCTCGGCTCACTGCAACCTCCACCTCCCAGGTTCAAGCGATTCTTGTGCCTCAGCCTCTGAGTAACTGGGACTACAAGCATGTGCCACCATGCCTGGCTAATTTTTGTATTTTTAGTAGAGACGGGGTTTCACCATGTTGGCCAGGCTGGTCTCGAACTCGTGGCCTCAAGCGATCTACCCGCCTCAGCTTCCCGAAGTGCTGGGATTACAGGCATGAGCCACTGAGCCTGGCCAGTATCACTTTATTTTTTCAAAATTTTAATAACTTCTTGCCAAGATTTTATATTTGTTAAGCACATTGTCATTCCGTAGTAATTTATAAACTTCAACTTAAATGTACTGATAATCCCATTACAGTAGGCAGTTGCCTACAGCTATTACCTTTATTTCTTCTTTAACAGTACCCTAATTTGATCCGATAGTGGCAAGGATCCCTTTTCCTCAAAGACGTTAGGACCTTACCCCAACTCCAGAGGCTGCACCTTCATTGATCTGAACCAGAAGTGGTAGTTTTATTCCATATAGTCTGTTTAGTACAAGGCAGCACTTTTTGCAGTGAAGGAAATCAACCATCTGTTCTGTCTGTCTGTTGTGGTAGCTATAACCATATGTGATATTGAGTACTTGATATGTGGCCAGTGCAATTGAGAAATTGAATGAAATGAACAGAACCCTACTGAGAAGGGCTTTCCTTTCAAATTAAAAAATCAGAGCTTTGTGTGAAAAGAGTCTTTGCCTCTTTCTCCTCTTTCTGACCAACAATATGCCTAAAGGTGCAGCTGCCATCTTAAATAACCATGAAACAGCAAATATGAGAATGAAAGTTACATTTCAGAGATGGAACTGGAGGAGGATTAAGGGGATCCTGGGTCCCTGATAAGGCATTGTTGAACACCCAAACCAAGATGAGCAATTGCCAAACTCCGCTGGGTCCCTGATGGAATTGTTGAACACCCAAAGCAAGATGAGCAATTGCCAGACTCCCCAGTTATTACATGAGAAATAATAAACTCCTGATTGTTTAAGACACTGTTTGATTTCCTGTTACTTCAGCCATGTATGTTTCTGACTAATATATCTGCTTATCCACTCTTCAACTTTTTTTAACGTGTAAAATTCTTATTTTAGGCATGTCAGGAATACTATTTCAGAATTGAATCATTTAAAGCAAGCAGATAATTGCATATAACAAAAGAAGTAATGTCTTATTGCAGCTCAGCACCTAGCATTCTGAGCCAACAGAGGTGAAAAAGGGACATGTTTACACCGCTTTAACCATAAAAATAATACTGATTTGGGGGCACAAGAGGATGTAGAGAAAAATATAAAGGGAAGACCAGTATTTTAATATGCTGCAAGCATATACTTCAACTTTTTATTGATAAATATTTCAAGTAATCTTTTTGTCTTATATATTGTAGCCCACTTAACGTCAAAGTAACTTCATTTTAATTCATTTCATAGAACCATAGGATTTTAGACAGGACTTTGGAGATGATTTTGTTGTACTTCATGTTAAGATTAGGAGATCTGAGGTTCAGATAAATTAACCTCTTGTGTTACAGAGCATGGACCAGACCCAGGATGTCAGGGGTTTCCAAGTCAGCATTTTTTCTGGTATCCTCTGCTGCATCTGGCTATCTTGTGATGTTCCAATTTTAGAGTGACAAAAATGAGAGCCAGTTATATGCAAGGGTCATAACTTGTTAGCAGATCAGGGATTATAATTCAGATGTTCTGATTTATAAAACAATTTTTAATTGAATAAGAAGGTAAATTATATTTTAATTTAAATTGTGTTTAAATTATTTAAGATATTACTTCATTTACATTCAATATGAGAACTGTTCCGAAATATTTAGAATATAATATAATGCCATTTTGCTCCGTCCCCCTCTGCCCCCACCATTAAAACTCTTGTTGTTTTCCATTTATTGGCCTTCGAGGATCTGTATAGTATCAGAATCAAGGGGAGAATTCAGATTTCTTTAATTGTAAACAATGTCCTTCCACTTTCCCACACTTTGAATTCAGCTACACTTAAAGTGCATGAAGTTGTTATACTTCCTTCTTCCACAAACATTCAGCATCTACAAAATAATGTGATGAAAGACTAAATGCATTCCTCTTAAGATTAGGAACAAGATAAGGATATGCACACTCACCACTCCTATTCAATGTAGTGCTTGACATCCAGTGCAATAACGTAAGAAAAGGGGATAAAAGGCACAGAGATTGGAAATGAAAAAATTAAACTTTATATTTGCATTTAACATTATTTTCTACATACAAATTCCTCAGAAATCTCCAAGAACTTACAAGAACTAGTGAGTTTAATAAGATCACAGAATACAAGATCGACCACACAAAAATTGTGTTTCTGTATGCTAACACCATTTACAGTTTTGAAATGTAATACTAAGTATAAATCCAACAAAACACCTACAGGACCTTGTTGATGAAGAGTCAAACTCTAAAATATTTGAAGAGATTTATTTTGAGCCAAATGTGAGTGACTAATGGGCTGTGACACAGCCCACAGGAGATCCTGAAAGCATGTGCCCAAGGTAATTGGGTTACAACTTGGCTTTATACATTTTAAAGAGATGTAAGGCATCAGTCAATACAGGTAAGATGTACACTGATTTAGTTTAGGAGGGTGGGACAACTGAAAGCAGGGACTTCCAGGTCATAGACAAATCCAAATATTTTCTGATTGGCAGTCGGTTATTATCAGTAGAAAGGGATGTCTGGGATAGTGGGTTGTAGAGACCAAGGTTTTATGCAGATGAATCCTCCAGATAACATGCTTCAGAGAGATAATAGATTCAGAGAGATAATAGATTGTAAATGTCTAGACTTAAAGAGTCTGAAGCATAACCATTTATACGAATTGGAAGACAATATATTAACTAAGTTGCCCCCAAGTTGATTTATGGGTTTAATACAATTCCTATAAAAATCCCAGAAGGATTCTTTGTTGAATAATTCTGATTCTAAAGAATGTAAAATTTCCACCACAGGTTTAGCTACCTGGGAGGTAGAGGTTGCAGTGAGCTGAGATCACGCCACTGCACTCCAGCCTGGGCGACAGAATGAGACTGTCTCAAAAAAAAAAAAAAAAGAGAGAAACTAAGGCAGACAGCTATAAGAGTTACTGAATTACTTATTACACAGGTTTCGCTACCCTGGAAATAGTTTATCATACACTTTTATATTACAACTATCATGCACCTTTCATTTGGAGCAATTATCACTTTAATTATATTTTCAGGTGATTATCTGTCTCCCTCAGTAGATTCTTTTTTTTTTTTTTTTTTGAGACAGTCTCATTCTGTCGCCCAGGCTGGAGTGCAGTGGCGCGATCTCGGCTCACTGCAAGCTCCGCCTCCCAGGTTCACGCCATTCTCCTGCCTCAGCCTCCGAGTAGCTGGGACTACAGGCGCCCGCCACCACGCCCGGCTAGTTTTTTGTATTTTTAGTAGAGACGGGGTTTCACCATGTTAGCCAGGATGGTCTCGATCTCCTGACCTCGTGATCCACCCGCCTCGGCCTCCCAAAGTGCTGGGATTACAGGCTTGAGCCACCGCGCCCGGCCAAGTAGATTCTTAAATTGCATGAGGGCAGAGACCCTGTATGTTTTTGGCCATGTTTACCTTATTAGTTTCTACCATGGTGCTTGCTTATGGTATGTATTTGAATGAATTAAAAATACTATGCACATTTAAGTATAGTTTTAACAAACCTTACTTGCAGAAGTAGCTTAATTCTACGTCTGCACTTAGTTCTCTAGTAAAAGAAACTGCAATCAGGAAGTCACTTCAGAAATCTAATCTGCAGGCTGGGTGTGGTGGCTCAAGCTTATAATCTCAGCACTTTTGGCGGCCGAGGTGGGTGTATTGCCTGAGGTCACGAGTTTGAGACCAGCCTGGCCAACATGGTGAAACCCTGTCTCTACTAAAAATACAAGGTGGCCCATGCCTGTAATCCCAGCTACTCAGGAGGCTGAGGCTGGAGAATTGCTTGAACCCAGGAGACGGAGGTTTCTGTGAGCCGAAATCATGCCACTGCACTCCAGCCTGGGTGGCAGAGCAAGACTCTATCTCAAAACAAAACAAAACAAAATCTAATCTGCATATCATGAACAACACAGTAATACAACTAAGATGATCTTATATATAAAACACATAAAGAATAGGAAAAAATAATTCTTAGAAATTTGTTTAGTTTGAGAAATGCAAACTGGAGGCATTCTTAGCCCTCAATTTTTCCCGACTA